TATTAAGAACTCTCATTGTAAACCGACTAGGAATCTGACCTCCTGACTATATAAAGGAGGGTAGGGTTCCTAGAGAGAGAACGAGACTACACAATCAATCCAACGCAAAGGCTAACACCGACTGGACGCAGGGCTATTACTCTACCACAGTCGAGGGCCTGAACCAGGATAAATCGACTGTCTCTTGCGTTCACCGTCGAGTTCCGCATACGCTGAAGCCCGAACAATACTGCCCCGGGGACCCCCGTGGCAGGCTATCGGTGGTAAAACATCGACATGGTCTTATTAATCCTATCGACCGAACCAAGACACCAAGGATTCATGAGAATATAATCCAAGAAGGATATGCTACCATCTCGGTAGATAAAGCTAAAAAAGGTTTTAGTGATTTGCCTCTTGACATTCCTAGAGGTGATGGCGAGAAGACTCTAGGAGAAGCAGAGAAGACATTCATTCTATGGCGCAAGCGCTACATCATCATTCCCGGGATGTCGCCTCCACCTCCTCCTGAACTACCTCACCATAGGTGCGGATGAAAACACTACATCATTAATTTATATTGGCTTAAATAATTAACAATCTGCTCAAAATAATATGTCATTCCTTTTTTTTAGCAGATCCTCCCCCAACCTAAATCCAATTGTTCAATCGCCAGATCATCATAGTGCTTTGTACGATGACAATGTGTTGGAAGGCGAGGCTGCATCCACACCATCTCCAAGGAGGTCTCCAACGCCGCAGCCGCCACCTCCAAGGAGGTCTCCAACGCCACCCCCGCCCCCGCCTACCAAGAAGCCAAGTACTAGCAAGAGGTCAGCCCCGCAAACGAAGAACCAGTCCCCGCCGACAAAGAAAGCCACCGTGAAACTAAGGGCTATTCCCAAAATAATATCTGAAGAGAAGGAAGAAGTAACTGATGCATATAAAAAAGATATGTCCAGATTCTATGACAAACTTAAAAAGGATCAAGAAGCAAGGAGAAACCCGGAGAAACCGTACTTCTTCGTAGCTCCAGATATTCTAAGAAAAAAGGTGGCTTCTTACCAGCAACAACAGCGGGAATCTCGTAAGCCGTCCAAAGCAACGTTAACGGACTATGACCGCACTCTCACCAAGTCAATTGAGGCGGCACAGAAAAAGAAGCGGGCAGGGAAAGGAGTTGCACAACTCGGACAACAATCAGACCAATCAGTCCCCCCGCTAGTTGTTGGTAATGAATATGGTTCGAATTTAGGATTAATGCATCGGGCAAACATACCTCCGGATGTCGATTTGGATCACCTTGGTGGATTTATTGAAGAGGCTGGTCTCGATCTTTACCAGATGTTTGGTGATGGAAACATTGAGAGTGCGGCGGAGGTTAATATTTGGAAGAAAAAATTTGTACTAGGCCAGAGTCTATACAACCCTCAAGCCTTAGGTGATCTGGGGACGCAAATGTACCTGCTAAACAAGTGGTACATGCAGGCGTCTACCGGTGGAGACTTCTGCGTTGGTGTCAGAATTAGAGACGAACATTGGTTCCGTGGCGATGATGTTATGTATGTTGACTTTGCAGAATTTCATCAATTATGCCACCTGACCTCTCTGAACAAAGTTATCATTAGCTGCTATTGCCTGTAAGTAATAATTCTTTCGATCTATTATTAAACTCATCATATGTGTGTATATGCATATAAATTATCCTAACAAGTACTATATATATGCAGATTTACAATGACAGAGCGCAGAAAACAAGGCTGCAATGAAATTGGTTTTGTTGATCCCCATATAGTATTCAAAGACCCAGTTACTCCAAAGCCTAATTGGAAGTCTGAGTCAGAGAGTAACCTCATGAACTTCTTAGTGAACCAACGCCACAAGAAGGATATACTCTTTCCCCACAACTTCAAGTGAGTGTTAATAATGTCGATCATCCTTAATGGCTCATATGTTGATTCTAGTTAATTAATGAGTGTTATGCGTTATATCCTATAAACACATGCAGCAATCACTGGATATTGATGGACATCGATCTGGTGAAAAGTCACTTGATAATCTATGACTCGATGAGAAAACCACAACAAGACTGCCAAGATATGATAGATATTATCCAGAGGTAATTTCGGTATCTCTAGCAACTATATATACACACAAACATAATGATTAACTATATCTGATGACGTGGCAAATTTTTTATTGGGCAGTGTTTGGAAAACCTTTATTGAGAAGCAACACATGGGAAAATGCAAAGCGCCACTGAATGTAATCCCTTTGAAAGTAAGTCCCCTAAATCGCATCATCTTTATTAATTAAACATATAGCTTTCACCGGATCACCAGATTGGATGACAAATCTTTTTCTCGTAAAGTGGTGTCTGAAGCAGGAACTGGGGAACAACTACTGTGCTTACTATGTTTGCAAGTTTATCAAGGAGGTCTCCCAAAGAACTCCTACAGAGAGACTCAAAGTACGTTAAAAATATACTATATATTTATTTAATTATTATTATTGATTGTGTTACTATGTCTTTATATATATATATGTATGTACATATATTAATTTATTTTCCTTTAATTCAAACCTGTAGGCTCGATTGTTGGAGGAAATGGTCATACGGCAAGACCAAATCAAAGCAATTTAAGAGTCTATAGCCAGATTTTTTAATGACCAGTTCATCGATTCCAAAGACGAGTTCTACTTCGACCCAACACTACCATGAAAGCAAAGCTAGAGGATGAGAGGAAACTTGTTATATCACAACAACTGTAATATAATGCAATCTTTTGTAATATATGCACATGAAATAATATAATGTAAAATATACATATGCATGCATGCATGTATATATATATATATATATGTTTGAATTGTGTCATTTAATACGTTCATTGTGCTTGAACCGAAACATACTATACGCGCGTATAAATGTATTATTAGCAGCGTACAATACGACTTCGAAAACCTATTTTGAAAAGAAAACAAAAAAATAAAAAGAAAAGAAAAAAGAAAAAAAAAACCTTTAGTTCCGATTCGTATTACCAATCGGGATTAAAGGGTGCCGGCCTCGTGGCATGTCAGGAGGTCTACCTTTAGTCCCGGTTCCTGACCTGGGACTAAAGGACTCCTTTAGTCACGGATGCTTGCTCCCGGGTGGGGAACCGGGACTAGAGGGGGTTCCCCACCGGGAGTAAATGCCGTCTCTATACCAGTGTTAACTATTTGTACAATATATTCAATTTTATATTGACACGATGGATTAAGTACTTTGTGATTGTAATCAGGGTCATTTTAATAGATTTTTTCTTCAAACACAAAATTGCATTTAGGCAAAAGACGTCGTGGTACTGCCGTACTGGAGGTTAGGCATGCTGATACACAGTACCGGAGTCCTCCAATGTTCATTTCTCATAGATTATGAGACTACTAATGCCACGACATTCAAAAAATTGCCTCATATCTGATATTTATCTAGAAAAAAGTAACATGACACAAACATAATAGTACATCAATAAACAATATAGTCGTTTTCTTCCTTCGATCATTCACGTCTACCAAATCTTTGAAAGTCACAATGAATATGTAGTAAGGGAAAGTGACACCTACACAAACTTATGTGTGTCGCAAGGCACAAGTCGCATGATTTCTTACACACGCGTGGCCACGGAGGTTCAGTGCTTGCGTGATCCTTCCATAACCACCACGCCTCAAAGTCACCTGTGATAGAGTAGTTGTACGGATCACTTTAGCGAATATTATAGTGCATATTTAAGATATGAACGGATTCAATATAAGAAAAAACTTTAAATCAGAAAGTTATAGATCATTTACAATAAAACTTTGGTTTAGGCCATTCTCCATCTGAGGTCATTTAAAAAATTTTAAAACTATGAATTTCAAAACTATTAATCTTAAAACAGAATTTTCCATTCGCAAAGAAAAAAAAACAGAATTTTCAGGCATTAAATGATTTCAAATCGAAAAGTTGTCAACTATAAACTTTCATATCTCTACATGTAATACAACTTTTGTTTAGGTTGTTTCTCCATTCGAGATACTTTGAAAAATTCAAAAATAAGAATTTCAAAGTCTGAGAACTTAAAATAGAATTTTAGAGCACTAAATGATTTAAAATGAGAAATAGTCAACTACAAAGTTACAGCTTCCTTTTAGTACTACAACTTTAATTTAGATAGCTTCTCTATCCGATGTTATTTGAAAATTTTAAAAATTGAAATTTGGAATACTGTGCTACGTCTATATTAGAGGCAGGCGAAATTGTTTGCTGACTCTAAAAATTCATTTCTATATATAAATGCTTGGAATTCCAACTGCCTATAGAAATAGGCTAGACTGCCTTTACAAATAGTATTTTTAGAGACCATTTGGCTTGCTAGCCGCCTCTAATAATATAGGGCATTTCTAGAAGGCGGAAGAAAATCTTATTAGTCATCTCTAAAAATAAACTTTTAGAGGCGGGTTGGCTCTGAAACCATTTTTAAAGGCCAATTTTGATAAAGCCGCCTCTACTAAGAACTAAGTGGAGATGTTGTTGTGGTGATACACCCTTGTCATACAAGGCTCCAAGGGCCACAAAACCACATGTTGCTAACATGCTACCTAGCAACAAGATCATAGTATCTATATATTGAAAGAATATGAACTGGTAAAACCCACAAAAACATAGGATTACAATCCTTCACCATAAAAAATGGTAGTACATTGCATAGGGATTGCCTCCCTAACATTGCGCAGAGCAGAGCAAAGGATGAGGTTGAAATCCACATCGAAAGCCAGCAAACTGCTTCCCATGATAAATACAGTAACTGTCAAGACCCGATGTAGCGACACGCATCATATTTTTGAGATTTGGCAAAGCTGATAACATAATTTTGTTGGTCTCCGTTGCCTCTATATAGGGTATACAAGACAGGGGCACCACGCCACAATCCAGTCTATGTACACAGATGAAACTAGTCTCCAAGTATTACAATATTTAACCAGTAATTACATATATAAGTTTACACATGATTCCTAGAAGACGTTGACACGTCTCCAATTGTCTGCACAGCAGAAATTGCTATATTGCTTATGACTATGAACAAAAGCATGTTGAAGACGTAAATTACTACAAAGGGATACTGCCGATTGATGTGCCTCTTGAGATGTTGTTTTCGTCCAAATAGAAGTCGCAGAACCCCTCTAAGTGATCCTGGACTTCCTAGGATTGTGAGCAGCAATATTAAGACATACAACCCAGAGTAGATCAGCCTAACCAATGCAATCAATGTATAATTCTCATCACTTGTTGCAGCTATAGCTGTGAAGAATCCTAGCATCATGCTGAGAAGTGATAGCCAGAGGAAGTGCATCGAGATGATGAAATCCAACCAGGAGTGGTGGGATCGCGAAGCTCTCCCATAAACGAGTAGGATGGTTGCCACCACGGCAGTGGTCACAGCAATGGTATCCAGCACGAGGAAGGCATTATACATGCGGTTCCCATTCAGAGTTGCCTTCCCATCAGATCCATATGAACCAGGCACGTTGAATGCTGCAGAGAAGGCAACTGTGGCCACAAGGGTGGAAACAATTGCAAGATTCTTTGATGTCACCAATCGCCATTTCACCAAGTCCTGACCAGCCCATTCCTTTACATGGTCTTGCCTCTGCGGCCTGAATTGTGCTTGGTAGACATTTAGCTTTACCACTAACCTTACCTGCTTGTTCGCAAATGTGTCACATGCATCATCACAAACTCTACTCTATCTAACATCATTCAACTAGAATGAAGAAATTAACTAGAATTGGTATTGCCTTAAGGATAAAAGATGGGATATTACTTACCATTGAGTAGAAACTGGTTGAGTTTTCAATCAGATCAGATGGGGTGCAGCCTTCATTGTTCATAATGTGAACCTGCACTTTTCCACTAGATAACAGCTTGGAGACAACTCTGTATTCCCCTGCCTGCACAGCCAAATGAAGTGCCGTGTTCCCTTCCTGGTCTTGGACATTCAGAAGATTTTCTAGCATCCGATTCTTTATAACATGGGAAACAATGGAGGAGTGGCCTCGCAAAGCAGCTACATGCAGAAAGCTTCGACCTTGGTTGTCACGGATGTCTGCAGAAGCGGGGCAGAATTGTAGCAACAATTTCACTGCAGGACCATTACCCATCAGCGCTGCAGCATGAAGAGCCGAGAGGCCTTCTCTGTCCTGCAAATATGCTGTGCTCGGTGGTGCGTATGTTAAGATCTCTTTGATGATATCACAGTCACCATCTGATGAAGCAAAATGTAATGGGCTGCTCTTGTAGCAATCAAGATCAGTTGCAAGTCCTGGCTGCCATCGCAGTAGCAAAGAAACCATTTCTACAAAAAAAAATAAACATTTGAATTTTCAAAAAAAATATATAAAACAAGATTGAACATTTCATAATAATATCAGTGCCAATGGGACATACAAATGCACAAATGCTAAAGGAATAGAAGAAGAACAAAATCCATCTTAATATCAACAAAGCATCCATGTTAATCCCCGCAAGGCGCATTAGGAAAAAAAGATAAATTCTGATCAGCATCATGAATAATAGCTATTGGATCTATTCTGTTCGACAACAAACACTCACATTTGCCATTATAAAAATGTAACCCTCTAAATTTCAATAAATTTGCCACCCCTACCATTATAAAGATAATTGAAAAAACCATTAAATTGCTTCAAAAAAATATCTTCCATTATGAAAGACAATGCAATGTAACCCCTAAATTTTAGTTATAACTGTATACATCTGTTATTATGAAAAATAATACAAAGTAACCCATTTAATTTTTATTAAAATTACCCACCTTTATTGAAACAAATAATTTCCCTCAAATAATATATACGGAAAATAATTTCAATAACCATGAAATACGATTTTTTATGTTTCTAAATTACATACTTCCATGGTTGTTAAACGAAAATAAGCATAAATGCAACTATGTAGAAAGTAAACATACATACATGAAGATAAATATTTATTTTAATAAGTTACCAATCATACAAAATGTTCACTTAACGACCATGTATACCAATGACGCATATATTATATTGATCATACTACAATGACAATAAATTTTAACTGTCGTTGCTTTAGATATAAGTTTATACATTTTGACTGAAACATTATGACACAACAATACTGCAAATTTAGTTTTTATAACTCGTTTCTATAACGACAATACCGCTTCACATATAATTTGATATTGAAAATAATTTCAGCATCTTCAGTTTCATGGTGCATAAAGAGTAACTTTGGTTTTGTCCTAAATCAAATTTCTTTAACTTCGACCAAATTTGTAGAATTTATATTGATAATCTAATCAAATAAGTTTACTATCAAGCCACATTAGTTGGTAGATCGAACAAAACTAACATGGTGTTGCAGATGTTGGTACATTTTTTATAGATTTTGTCAAAACTAGATAAAGTTAAAGTAACTTGTAATTTAAATTGAGTGGCAGAATATATTTGTTAATAAAAATATAAAATTTCAATTTTAATAGAAGATATAATAAGCAGTAGAGTTTTAACTTAACATACATGTGTATAAAAACTTATAGCAACTGATAAGATGTGTAGGTCGGTGCACCCAACATAGTGCGCTACACTTATGTCGCATTTTAATTTATAATATGAGCAGCTGATATCAGAAAAGATTTCACTCATCTGGGGAATGGTTAGATTTAAATGAAGTAATTAGAAGTCGCCTTTTGTTCATAGATATTTCGATTTGGTACCTTGATTGTGTTCACAACACGAAAGCACGTCTTCACATTATGAAAAGCGTTATTACGTTGAATTGTGCGCGTGGGTCCACTGCTTACTTGTTCTTCATGCTCATATATTAAAATATAAAGCTAAGGTCAACTCTCATGATAATGTTGATTATTAGATAAAATATAAAACTAACATTATTCCAGTTCAACCATTTGGAGCATGGGGAGGTGATTGAACAAACCTGAGCTCTGCAGAACCGCCGCGTGCAACGCGTTCTGCGACATGGGACCAGCGGCGGACGCGTCCCTGTACCCAAGTATGGCCTCGACGGCGCGCACTGACCTGCTCATCACCGCCAGGTACAGCGGCGACACGGCGGCGCCGTTGACGCCGGCGGCCAGCTCGGGCGCCAGCTTCATCAGCGCCTCCACCGCCTCGCCGTGGCCGTGCCTGGCGGCGACGTGCAGCGCCGTGTCCCCGGCGCGGTTCCTGCGGCCCAGAAGCTCCTCTCGCAGCCTGTCCGCGTCCGCGTCACGCCTGGCCAGCCGGACGATGGCCTCGATCGCGCCGGCGTGCCCGGACCTCGCCGCGCAGTGGAGAGGCGTGTCCAGCGAGGAGTTGGCCGAGAAGAGGAGCGCGCCGTCGCGGAGGCCGAGCTCGGTGACGAGGTCGCGGTGGCCCTGGCCTGCGCCGATGTGGAGCAGCGTGCTTCGGTCCGCGGTCACCTCCCGGGTGGTGCAGCAGGGTCCATGCTGAGTGCCTGAAATAATCACAAAGCATGGAAGCTATGCTCATCAGATTCCAAACAAATACTCCGTTCCCACCAACAAGGCAACAACTCTCTATCTTTTGTGTCGGCACTAGCTCATCTCCTCTATCTCTCTCATATATGTTGTTCGGACTTCGGATCATCTGTAGGAATCTACTTGAGGCCGGGTTGCAAGGTATAGATGTACATACCAGTTGGTCTGGCATCGCCTGGCGACGGCCGACGACGACCGTTTCTAGCTGCCGTCGCGGTGTGGACGCCTCCAGTTTGCAGCCCGATGAGGACCTCCTCTGTCCGCCCCTCGAACGCCGCAATATACAGTTCGGAGCACATGAACATGCCATCTGGGAGTTCATCCTTGGAGATAGCTTGGCCTTGGGCACTTTCCATGTAAGTGCCTTCGGTATTTTTGTTTCAAGTCTCCGGCGGGATGCACCATTACTAGTAGCTAGTCTAGTGTAGTTGAAACTCTCTCTCTCTCTCTCTCTCTCTCTCTCTCTCTCTCTCTCTCTCTCTCTCTCTCTCTCTCTCTCTCTCTCTCTCTCTCTCTCTCTCTCTCTATATATATATATATATATATATATATATATATATATATATATATATATATATATATATATATAGAGCGGTAGGTTGAAGGGAGGGGCCTTCCCATGGATACAGTTCAAGATGTGTTCGTCTTCCGTTTTTTTTTATCATATATGCGTGAGTAATAGACAGTCTGATTTGTTAGACTACGTGTATAACTAGTATATCCTCTGTTGAATAGGCTGCACAGGTGGCATAGAATGAGTCAAACAGAATGCATATGCTCACATAATTTTTTTTAAAAATCCAGTTATCCGGCTTTGATTTATAATAAGGAGATGTAGCAAACAGCTGTTTGTTTGCTGTGAGATTTGGCTTATGCTGATAGTACATCAATAAACAATATAGTCGTTTTCTTCCTTCGATCATTCACAGTCTACCAAATCTTTGAAAGTCACAATGAATATGTAGTAAGGGAAAGTGACACAACAACAAACTTATGTGTGTCGCAAGTCACAAGTCCCATGATTTCTTACACACGCGTGGTCACGGAGGTTCAGTGCTTGCATGATCCTTCCATAACCACCACGCCTCAAAGTCACCTGTGATAGAGTAGTTGTACGGATCACTTTAGCGAATATTATAGTGCATATTTAAGATATGAACGGATTCAATATAAGAAAAAACTTTAAATCAGAAAGTTATAGATCATTTACAATAAAACTTTGGTTTAGGCCATTCTCCGTCGGAGGTCATTTGAAAAATTTTAAAACTATGAATTTCAAAACTATTAATCTTAAAACAGAATTTTCCATTCGCAAAAAAAAAAAAACAGAATTTTCAGGCCTTAAATGATTTCAAATCGAAAAGTTGTCAACTATAAACTTTCATATCTCTACATGTAATACAACTTTTGTTTAGGTTGTTTCTCCATTCGAGATACTTTGAAAAATTCAAAAATATGAATTTCAAAATCTGAAAACTTAAAATAGAATTTTAGAGCACTAAATGATTTAAAATGAGAAATAGTCAACTACAAAGTTGCAGCTTCCTTCGAGTACTACAACTTTAATTTAGATAGCTTCTCTATCCGATGTTATTTGAAAAATTTTAAAATTGAAATTTGGAATACTGTGCTACGTCTATATTAGAGGCAGGCCAAATTACTTGCTGACTCTAAAAGTTGAAAAACTCTCTCTCTCTCTCTCTCTCTCTATATATATATATATATATATATATATATATATATATATATATATATATATATATATATATATATATACACACACCTTCCCATGGATACAGTTCAAGATGTGTTCGTCTTGCGTTTTTTTTTATCATATATGCGTGAGTGATAGACAGTCTGAATTGTTAGACTACGTGTGTAACTAGTATATCCTCTGTTGAATAGGCTGCACAGGTGGCATAGAATGAGTCAAACAGAATGCATATGCTCACATCTTTTTTTTTAAGATCTGGTTATCCGGCTTTGATTTATAAGGAGAAATTAGCAAACAGCTGTTTGTTTGTTGTAAGATTTGGCTTATGCTGATTTGTTGTTAGAGAAAAACATTGTTCATTCGATAAAAAATACTACTGAAGTCAAGCGAACACACGCACGAGGTGCGCTACCAGCCGCAGCCTAGGCTGCAGAGAGCTTATTACATAAAAGGTAGTTGCGCAACCATTAGGACCTATGACAGCTTCATTGTTGCCGCACTATTCAGTCCCCACACTTTCCGGTTCACCTTCCAGCTCCGGATCTTAGGGTCATTGCTATCCATCCTAGCATGTCCACCGGGGGAAGTCGGCCATAGAGGTGCACCATCGGCTCCCCACCTGCTTTTGGTCCACCTTTCCTAGAGACTCCTACAATACATGGATCACAGATACAACAACATCGGTTTTGCATCTAAGTTTCAGGGAACCTCCATCTCAACTGCCTCCGTCTCCTATACTATAGCCGCTAGTGCTTTGGCCAGCTTCTTGCTGCTCAGGCGCGTGGCAGCTGTGAGCGCCTCACTACTGGACTCGCATGCTTTGCCGAGGGCCAGACCAGAAACCCTCGGCAAAGGCTTTGCCGAGGGCTGCCCTCGGCAAAGACCCCTCGGGGAATTTTTAGACGGCGAAGGAGTCTTTGCCGAGGGCCCTTTATCGGGCACTCGGCAAAGAAAAGAAACCGTCACGCGCCGGCGCCGTTGGCGGTTTCTTTGCCGAGGGCCGACCCTCGGCAAAGAAGTGGTTTTTTTTTTTTAATTTTTTTTGCCAAGGGCCGGCCCTCGACAAAGAAATAGTGCTCCAGTAGTGCCTTGACGGCTTGCTCCTGTAGCTCCTCAGCATACATATCAACATAGCCGGTGATAGCTGCATCTGGCGCTGGCGACTAGTTGTTGATGAAGTCGAGTTCACGCATGAGCCTCCTCTGGACGCGTTCAGCCACCGGCACCGATGATGGGCGCACCACGACAGTATGCCAGATCTAGACATCACCATCGGTTCAAAAACCCCCTTCACTGCCGGATTTTGAATCGGCAGTGGCATACCGGCAGTGATGAGGGGTTGACATCACTGCCGGTTCCTAAAAACTAACACTGATCTATAGGCAATAGTGTCGATTCCTGGCTCCACCTGGCAGTGTCCAGTTGAATAACACTGCCGGATTGTAGACCCAACCGATAGTGATGGTTGCTTCAAGAGTGTCGATTCTTGGCTCAAGCCGGTAGTGTTGAGCAAGCCTACACTGTCGGCTTGTGTCTCAAGCCAGTAGTGTTGAGCAAGCCATCACTGTCGGCTGGTGGCTCAAACCGACAGTGTTGTCTTCAGCAACATTGCTGGTTAGGATTTCAAGCCGACAGTGATGGCTCAACCAACACTACCGGCTCATGCCATGAACCGGCAGTGCCCTCTTTACCATCACTGTCGGTTTTGTACTAATCGGCAGTGATCTCTTTTTCACATTTTAGTGTTTTATAATTTATTTTATTTTATTTTATTTTGTGGAATCGAGTTTTGCTTTTGCTACATAGACAACACGTCCATCAACATTAAACATTACAAATGTTACGATTACAGTTCAAATGTACTTATGAACTCTCGATCCCTTGAAATAAAAAAGAAATTACAATAGTCTAGCGAGCCGCTCTGGCCCGTACTGCGCCTTGTACTTCACGGACTGTGCAATGGAGAATGTTCCTTTTTTTCTAAACACTCTGATACGATGAAGGCTGCTAGCTCCGATGATAGTGCTATGACCTTCATTTATAATAGCCTATTGTGTTTAAATTTTTTGCGCTGTCATTAAAAAAAATGGTTTCGAAAGGTAGAAATGTTAGAGAAATAAGTAGATCATTTTGTTGAATTAACAGATATAAATGAAATGAGGATTATACACACCAAAGCATTTGCCGCCTCTAATTTTACGCCGAGGTAGCGAAGCATTGCCCACATTACATAGAACCCGCATTCATTCTTTCCCGCCGACTGGTCTAGGGTCTCCAATTGCATTGGTGCAACCTAGAATGGGACCTTCGTCCCACCGACCATTCTTGCCTGGACACCATGCTACATTATAAAGTGTGAAAAAGGGGCAACATTAGAATATGCTATGTGCGATTAGAAAATATTATGTTATTAGGTTCGCTTACGCATTAAGCACTTTGACTAGGGGATCGAGCAAAGAAAGTGGCTTTTTCTTCGAGTCCCACGCCTTGATACGATTTCTTTTAATATCTACAACAATGAAGATGAAATGGTTGCTGCAATCACAAAACCCTAGTTAACGAATAATCGTAACTACAAAAAATAAGCATAAAAATAAGAATAGAGAACACATACTCGCAGTTGTAGGCTAGAACTATTTTGATTTTATTACTCATCTTGAAATTTCGAAAATAGCAGTTAGTGTCTCCGTTAGATCTTTCACTTTATTTCCACGCATGCCTCTGCATGTTCTCTCGTTGACTAGCTCGGGGTCCAGGAAAGACATATGAGCGTACTTTGTTTTGAAGCAATGTTTTGCTAGACACCTGCATAACTCATGGGGAACATACAGTTCTTAACTATTTGTGTATCAAGAGATAGTTAATTATAATATCGTGCGAGTAGGGTACTTACATAGTCCACAGCGTCAATATTTGTGTATCGAGATTGCGTCTCTGGAATAGCTGAAACAAGTGATCCCAACCGACAAAGTGCTTCTCTTCATTAGGATAATGGAAAACATGCGGCGGGTGGATAATATATTCGAAACCCGTCTGCCCCGTCTCAAGTGCTTGGGCCATGTATTAATCATGCAAGTCACACATATATGTTGTCAAATCTTTATACTCCTCCTCGTCCACCAAGAAGTTGCCTCTTTGAAACTGCATTACCGGTCTTGCCGTCTCATATAGTGAATCATAGTAGATGTTCACGGCATCATCCCTGTTTAATCTAGGGTTGTCTTGGACATTCTTGTTTATCTTCCTTTGATCTTCATGGTGTATTTTTTCGACTCTTAATTGATTGTGCTTACTCTTTGCTTGCCTATTGAATTCGGACTGCACTCTCCACTTAGGCAGTGAGGCAAATAGATTCCAAAATCGAACTTTGTCTTCCTTGGAGGCTACTTCTGGCTTTTGTTGGTTCATCAAGTTTGTAACGCTACCACTCATCATCCTTTTCTTTTTTTGTTAGTCCACTTTGGGAGCATTAGCGACCAAATCCGAGGACCTTTTCTGTGACTGTGAGGATGCCTTAGATCTTGTTTTGGGCTGTTGTGGAGGAGGAGGAGGACGAGAATTATGTTTTCTTGGGGGTGATGAAGAGGGAGGAGTCTTCTCTTTTCCTAGGGTTGATGAAGATGGAGGACGAGGAGGAAGAGA